GGGAGTTGGAGGTGATAGCTGGACAAAATCCTCTCTCATTGCCCCAAAACTGAGTTTATATAATCTAATCGGAGCTCGAAACTAACGGTATTCTTTCTCTTTCTGCCCCCACCCCCAATATTACTCTTTTCTCCTGCAACAGCTACCCAGTAGACAACCAAAGAGGTTCTGGTTCTGGAGGACAAAAAAGATCCAGTCTGGTCAGTCCAAGCCATCCTCCACCAGCTCCTCCGGTTGGATCCCCATCCAGTGCCAGGCCTGGCTTTGCTCCACCTCCTGCTCCTCCCCCCCCACCACCAGTGTCGGGAATTCCCCCGCCACCTCCTCCTGTAGGATTTCCAAATTCAGGGATGCCGTCTCCACCATCTCCATCCTCCTTCCCTCCTCACCCCGAGTTTTTCTGCCCCTCCTCCGCCATCACCTCCAGCAGCAGAATACTTCGCTGTGCCTCCGCCACCGTCACCTCAGCCAACCGATGGTGCGCCTCCCCCTCCTCCACCTCCTCCCCCTCCTGGTCCCCCACCTGTGCCTTCCAGTGGCATGGATGGTGCACCAGCTCCACTTCTGCCTCCAGACTCCTCGGCCTCCAAGCCAAAATCTTCCTTGCCTCCTGTTACTGATGCCAGAAGTGACTTGCTTTCAGCTATCCGTCAAGGTAAGCCCTGGCTGTGATTTTTATGTATCCTCTTTCCCATAAGCCTAGTTACTGTCTCTTCTGAGGGAAGTTCCAGGGCCCGGGATCCATCCCATGGGCAGCACCGCTGCTGGCTTGCTCCTTGTGACACACGCCTACTGTGGATGATCTAACCCAAAGAGAATCTCAGCACCCCGTTTCACCCCAATGAGGGTGCCCTCTAGTTTTAAACCTTTGCAGGTTGCCCCGCAAGAATCAATGCAGCTCCCAAGCTGCAGTCAAACTGCCTTTAGAGCAGCAACACATAGCGCTTGGGCGGAGTGTGGGAAGCCAGCTCCTCTGGCTTCCTCCAGTCGCCCTTGCTCCAAACCTATCCAGGCTGGTCAGTGGTTTGACCTGTGTGCCCCCTTCTGTGCAGTCGTTGTGCCAGGCTGGCCCAGCGCAATCCAGGCATTGATCAGAGCACAGCATTGGAGCAACAGTTCTCTGTAGACCCCGTGAAATCTCCAGCCGTTGAGTGACCACCTCTCTGCCTTCTTCCCCTTGCCAGGCTTCCAGCTCCGCAAGGTGGAGGAACAGCGGGAACAGGAGAAGCGGGACGTTGGGGGCAATGACGTGGCAACGATCCTCTCTCGCCGCATCGCTGTGGAATACAGCGACTCCGAGGATGATTCTTCGGAGTTTGGCGACGACTGGTCTGATTAACCATGGTCCTGCTCCCCGGGCTCCTCCTCGCTAGCCTGACCCCTTTTTCTTAAAGAGCCAAGTACTTCCTAGGTTGCCAAAGCCTTTTAGCTTTTCCTGTCTCCTCCAGTAACCGAAGATGTACCAAGGGGTTTCAGCAAATCACCATTGGCTTTGGCAAGACTTGCACTCGCCTTTCCAAAAGGTCTCCTGCGAGATGCTGTGGGTTGCAATGTTGTTTTCCAGCAGGAGGGGGAGTGGTGCTTGCTCATTAAAGGAAACTTAAACCACCAGATTTGCAATGCCACAGAACAAAGCACGGTTAAAGATCCTTTGGGATGGATGTTTGGTTTTTTTAAAGTTAAAAATCAGTGACCCTATTGCAGCCAAAAGGCTCTTCAGAAGGGCGTTTTAAGCTGGTTTTCTCATTGCAGCAGCATATAGGATATAGTGGATATAACTCTCTCTTCCTCTCCAGTTAATATTGGGAGTAGTGCTAGGAAATGGGCTTAAAATGGCTCTTCTAGTGCATCCCATTATTAAATAACCCTTGGAACAGTCCATTCTTTTTGGTGATGGAAGCATCATTTTTCCAGCATTTCCAAACTAACCTGCCTAAAAAGCTCTCTCAAGCTGTGGGGTTGCAGGGTGCACTACATGGAAACCTGGGGGTTAGGTTTTCTTTAAAAGCTGCCTCTACATCCTCCAATAGCCTGGTTTGTGCCTCCACCACTGCTGAAGGAGGCTGAACTAAGAGACACAGCCTTAGCAAAATGCTAACCTGGCTGGCTGCGCGCTCCGGGGATGCAGGGCCATTACCAAGTCAGGAAGTTTCCCTGCTGCTACTGGTGTGCTGTGGGAAATAAACAGTGACAGCTGGGGCTTGCTAGGTTCTGCTGTGCTGGGAAGGTTTTCATCTGTTACCTAGTGAGCTCCGCAGTGTGTCTAGAGCAGGAGATGTAACCAGCGGTATTGGGTGGGAAGAGGCGAGCTCTGAGCACCAAATAGGCCTCAGGCCCATTTGGCGTTCAGTGTGTCTACAATTCACTTACCAGCCAGGGCAAGGAGGCGAAGCATCAGGGTCTCACTTGGCCTATTCAGGGCAGCACTTTGGTCAGTTTGAATACAGGTGCTTTTCATTGAGGTTGATGGTGCACTTTATGCAGGGAATTGAGCAGCAGAAAATGCCAGTATTTAGCCTATGCTGCTGTCTCCTATCCTGGGGGAGAGGCTTACATGTTGCAGGGTCTCTCTGTGGACTGAGTCAGCCATCGGTAACGTTACATCTAGCCCATATTCGTGGTTTTCCATTACTTCACATCCATAGTCCAGTAGTTAATTCTCAGAAAAGGTTGTATTATCTCCTTTACCAGATAAACTTACAAATTCCTGATATGATCCCAGAGATGCATTACAGGTAGGGGTGGAAATGGGGATTTTAGATTAGCTAACTTAGGTTTTATTGTTTTTATTACCTTTTAAAGTTCAGTGCAAGCACCTCCAACAGGATAGATAAAAAGCCCTCTGTGTAGCAGGTGCTTGTTTAATATCTTATCTGGGCTTGACTGTCCAAGTCTCCGTCAGTGTGACATAAAAGAACAATTCCTAAGTTTTTCACAGAGATCACAGCCCATGTGATTCATGGATCCAACTATGGGGGGAGGGACAATGCAGCTCTGCCTTTACTTTTCTAAAGTATTTTGCCAACATGTGCCTCTCCTTCCCTTCCCTCTATGACTTGCCTTATTACTGCTTTTGTGTATCAAAACAAAGATTTCACTAATACATGGGACACCAGATACAGCCAGAGGTTGCCATATTGCCAGAAAAAAACCCCTCTTGGGTTTGTTTTTTTTAGTGTTTAAATTCTCACTTTTCTGGATTCTTGCTATTTTCTTGAATATCTTTCCCTTTTTTAACGTTTGAAAGAGAGAATAAATGAAGTGGCCTAGATCTTAGGTTTCTCTAGAGGCTGGGGACCACGTTTTTGGGTGCAGGTTTTGTCATGTTCCAGTTTGACCGTAAAGCACCAGTGAGGTTAATTTATTAAACCTCTGCACTGCTATATTTGGCAGCAAGCCAAGTGGGTTAGGTAGACTCCTAAGAGGGCATAGGGCTGGTCTTCATTATGGGGAGATTGATGCTGCTGCAGTCGATGCAGCAGGGGTTGATTTAGCGGGTCTAGTGAAGACCATTAAGACACTAAATCGACGGCAGAGCACTCTCCAGTTGACCCTGGTACTCCAGGTATCCGAGAAGAGTAAGGGAAGTTGACCGGAGAGCGTCTCCTGTCACTGCAGCACAGTGAAGACACCAGGGTAAGTTGACCTAAGCTATGTCGACCTAAGCTTCGTTATTCACATAGCTGGAGTAGCGTAACTTAGGTCGACTTACCCCCCATAGTGAAGTCAAGCCCATAGGCAGTGAAACTGACACTACTTTCTGATGGGACAAGAACATGTCAGCAATGTTAGTTCCAATCCTCCAGCGCCAATAAGCCATAATGCACTCCAGGGCACTGGAAATTAGTAACACAAAAATGCCAAACTTGGGTTCTTTTTAAATTGCTTTGGCTATACCTGCCCCCATTTCATGAAGGGGAAGCTAATACTCCTTTCATTCAAAGCTTTGAAAGGGGTGATATCCCTTGTAACCTTAAATGGACAATCCATCTGTGCGCAAGCCACCAGTTGGATTGTGGAGAAAGAGGGTTGGTGCCAGATGGTTCTGTGACCAGTCTCCTGGCTCTGCCCCGTGTTCTTAACATCGATGCAATAAAGCCTGTCCCTTTGTCCTGGGTGGCCATAAAGAAGCAATGCCCACTTATGCTGATCAGCGATCCCATCAATAGAAGGAACCATTTTTTCTTTATGCAAGTCTAGTTTAAAAACAATTCTGCTTTTAAAGTCATTGGGGTCCTCAGGAGTGGATCTAAAACATCGGTCCTCAACCTGGGGGGGATAGTGGGAGGGGAAGAAAATAGGTGCCAAGAACAACCTCTCTGCAAGATGGTTGTACCCAAATGGCTCTAACTGTAGGGCTGCCACCCATTCATGCAAGGGGCACGTGCTTGGCTGAACAGCCTCCTGGCCACTTTGTTGGTTTAGCGTGGTCTTAGCTTATTTAGTATGACCATAGGTACATTCCAAACAGTATAGTGGAGGGAGCTGCCAGTGTTTAACGAATCTGGGGATGAGAATAAGAGGCTGCTTTTAAAAAAAAAAAAAAAAAAAAAAAAATAGGTGTTCAGGCACGCCTTTGTATTTCT